GGGGGGTGGAGGGTGGGGGTGGGTGCTGTCATTGTCTTCTGTCGGGTTGCCCTCTCCAAACCCTAACCCTCCCTCGTCCCAACCTTTAGGTAGCAACAGGAAACCATGGCCAGGCAACAGCAGGCAGCCCCAGCAGGAATTTTTTTTTTTAAAGAAGACACTAGAAAAGACTGAATCTACTCAATTCTACACTTGCACAGTCCCATGCGGTATTTAGGCACAGTTACTACGTTAATGCATATTCAACTGAAGACCCTATTCTTTAAACTCTGCACTTGGGCCACTCCACACTGAGAAGCCATTCATTCCCCTCCCAGGTCTCAGACCTGGGTTCTATGGCTGCAGTGATGATGCACATTCTCCACAGGAGGAACGTGGCCTCTAACAAGAGGTGGCTAGGCGAGTCAGGAAGGGGACAGGAGCCACTGAGAGGTGACAGGGAGAAGGACAGATGCTCAGAGCTAGAGATTCCCTAATTCCCCTGGAGGAGACTGGGGCTCTGTCAGTTTCACTCGCCCTTCAGATAGCACAGTGTGTGTGCACGAGTGTGAGTGTGAGTGTGTGTGTATAACATAGTCTATATTTAATATGTTTAGTAAGCTTTCCATGGCTCATGGTTGTATGAGTTTCTTTACTCTTTAGCCCTTCATATTCCTTCCATAAGGCTAGAATAATCCTCCAAAAGAAGTTCTACAAGAGAAATTCATTTTGGTATCAAAGAGGGGAAGACCAGCATCTGACTGGGGCTGGTTTGTCTGAATCCCAGGTGCCACGTGAAAATTGACTAGATACACTTCGGCACAGGCAAGCATACACTCCACTCGCAAAAGAATGCAGACAAGGAGAAGTTTTGTGGCCGTTTATTTTTCAAAATGGAATCATTTTACATAGCCTATGTACCTCTTAACTTCTTTTTTTTAATTTTAAAGATGTGGGATACAATTCAGGGCTAGGTATACGAATGTTGATTATGCAGTTACCCTTGTTGATGAGGTGTGCCCCTCCCTCCCCCGGCAGTTTTCCTCAACTCCCAATCCCACTGCCTCTCCCCTGGCAGTTTCCCACTACTGCCAATTCCTTTCTTAGAGTATTATGATAATTGTTCAAAGTCCACTATGAGTGAGAACATATGGTACTCTGTTCTTCGTTTCTGTGATAGATCACTGAGTATGATAGACTCTGAATCCATCCAAGTTGCTGTGAAATCCATATGTTTGTCCTTCTTTATAGTTGCATAATATTCCATTGTGTATATGTACCACTTTTTTAAAAAAACCAGTCCAGCTTTGATGGGCAGCACGGTTGGTTCCATGTTTTTGCTACTGTGACTAGAGCTGCAATAAACATGCAGTGCTGGTATCATTTTTGTAGAATGATTTGAGTTTTTCTGGGTATATTCCCAATAGGAGATTCCTGGGTCATACGGAAGATCAATTTCTAGTTCTTTCAGAAATCACCACACCGCCTTCCAAAGAGG